TAAGATAAATGAAAAAAAAATTCATGCCATTCCAAAGAATCAACCACATACAGATGCTACAACTAATAAAATAAAACTAAGAAGTATATCTTTAGTCTGCCAAATTGGGGTTTTATCATGAAATACCAAACCTGTGAAGCATAATCCATCTGATTTCACAGTTCTATTAAGACATAATGGCTTGTTTGTTACTCATATTTTTTGTTTTCATTACTTGGTATCAGAATTATTCATAAAAATTATCTGCCTGTCTAGAAAACTCTCATTTAGGCTGATGTGTTCTATACTATTCAAAGTAGACTAGAAAAATCATGTTCTACTGTTCAGTAAGAAAGATGATATAGATCAAATTTGCTCTCAATTTTGTGTGATTGTTCGTTGGTTTCAGCTGCAAAACTTGGTTCCTGTAATGGTAGATTATTAGAGTTATTTTTTTATAACAACTGAAATTTCTTCAATTTGATCTTTGCTGTTATTAGGAGGGAAAGTATTAGAGATAATTTGTTCCATTCTTCAATTGTGAAACCTCTATACAATGGGAAACTAGAAACTCAAGGAAATGTAGGTGAATATATGACTATATGTGATTATGTTATCTATTCATTTAAAGAAATACAGAGTGACTACTGCATTGCTTCATACACTGGCAATGCAGTTGTAAATAATACATAAAAAAATTTTATGTATTTATTTCCAAGGCAGAGAGAGAATGGAAAGAGGAGAAAAAGGGGGCAGAATGGGGTCAAACTAATTGCTGGTTTGTCCCCCAAACACCCAAAACAATAGGGGCTGGATTGAAAGCAGGAGCTGGGAATGCAATCCAGGGTGCCAGGGATTCCACTACTGGAGTCCTCATTGCTACCTCCTAGGCTCCGGATTATCAGGAAGATGAACTGGGAGCTGGAGTCATAAACAGACCCTGTTAATCTGCTACCAAAAGCACGCAGTTTGGTTGGCATTTTAACCACTATGTTAAATGTCAGTCCTCAGTAAGTAAAATATGAATTATAAATAGTGTTACATGCTATGGGGAAAGATCAAGAAAGGGAGAGGCAGAGAGGGGAAAAGGCAGAGAAGGTATTTAGTTATTTGGTCCATACCTGTTCTCTTGTCTGCTTGAAGTAAGGACTTGGTTTGATGTTGCTCATCAGGGCATACAACACATTTGGCATTTTATATGGGTGGATAAACACAGTATTGAATGAATCCTCTCCTCATCTTCTGTTTGTGTGTTTTTTTAAAGACTCCCCATAGTATGTAATGTACTGATTAGTCATGTTTATTATTTGTTGTCTGCCTCACTCATCTAGAAGATAACTTGCACAAAGGTAACAGTATTGATCCATTTTGTTCACTGATATATACCAAAAACCTAGAACACGGCCTGATAGAAGCATTTATTAAATGTTTGTTGAAAGAAAGAATGAACTTTGTTCACAACCTTTTCCTAAAAGGAAATAACATAACTACTAACTTTTTGATACTTTAATTTTGCTACTTTGGGCAAGGCAGATTTTTCTAACCAACACATCTTCTGAGGCTACTGATGAAACCACAAATTTGTATGCTCGAAGATGAATGCCATGACTAAAGTACTTAAGAAGTTAATCTTGAAGCCAAATTAGCATACCTTCAAAAATTCCAATCTGAAAATGTATTAACTCTATAATCATTCAACTGTAAATGGAACTTTCCATTGCATCTTCAAAACTTTTGAAGGGAGACTGACCAAGGAAACTGTAATACTCACTTAAGTCATTGACTTTTTGGAAAAGTAAGGAAGGGGTGCATAAGGAGGTATTTAGAAAGTCTTGACAATATGAGGTAGATGAGAAACCACAAACTCCGATGTTACTTTTTAAGAAAATATTTTAAAATATTTTTATATCCCTTTTCGTCTCAGACACATAGGCAACTGCACAAACTATTTTGTGATAAAGATAATGGGAGCTTCCTTTGTTATTCTTGGAGAAGGGTCAGAGCTGTGAAACAGGTACAATTTATACTTCCAGGGGCTACAGAGAGCCTTGTAACTTATATTGAGGAGAAGAGCATGGCATAAATGATGGCCACCTGGGAATACAGCTCTAGCATGAACAGATATGAGCATGAGGGCATGGCAGTCAAATGCATAATGCTTCCTGTATAGCCATTTAAAAATATCTGACAATTTACTGACAGCATTTTGGAAGCATCTTTGTTCATTTCTATGCAGAACTTCAATGCTAGATTTTAGGTTTTAAGGGCAGGGTAATAAGGCTGCTCTTCAAGGACAGCTTATTCAACTCCACATGCCGGTGGAAGGCATTCTTTTTGAATAGTCATCAACATCTGGGACGTCATTTCCAGTTAGAAAACTTTTCACTGAGGAAATTGACAATCAGATATAGAGTAAGCAACATGATTTTATAACAGGTAAATCTCACTGCACTCCAGTATGAATTGTGCTTTCTCTTCTTTTTTTCTTTTTTTTTACTTTTTTGTCTTGCTAGGAATTTCTAGATGATTCTATGCTTACATCAGCATTTTTAAAAATTTATGCCTCAGAATACTAATTGAATTCAATGAAGTAGTGTTTTATGGTGAATTAAATGGCACAATATCACACATTTTTTCTTAGATAGTTGAAATACAAATTAGGATTACATAAAGAGATTCACTTAACTTTAATTTAGCATTTTTCAAACTTTTTAAATCAGAATTATTTTGTCCTGTAGCAATCATCATATTCTTTTTAATTTACAGGATGCTATCTAACCTAAGTCATACTATTATTTTATAATTTTGTTTCACAAGACAGGAAAACGTTGAGAGTATACTTCTGATTTTTAAGACTAATAAAAAGACACAGTAGACAAAACCAAATTCTAGTAAACACTACTTTGTATATGTGGTAGTATATAAAATTACTATATTATTATATAATTGCGCACTACCTAGTATGATTATGGTATATGAAGACCTACTGTTATAAGTAAAAAATCTGTAGTACATATTCATGGAATCATACATGATATACTACATATACATATACTACATATTCTAGAAATAAAATTTCAAGTTAAAAGTGTTAATTACATACTTAGCTAATTTCAATTTTAGTTTATAGATTCTACTACATAATTCCAAAAACCATGAGGGATAATTCTTTGAATTCTGATGTAAATGAGCTTAGCAGTATGCTACTTACATCATCTTATCACAGTTGTCACTTTCACAGATCACAGATACAGCTGTGACTTTTCTCACAGGGGTATCTGCATTATAGAAGACACTTCAATGTAGATGTTAGAGTCTACAGGAACCTCATTACTTTATGCTCAACGGAAGTCTTAAGGTAACTTCATTGCTGATAACAATCCCTGTGTCTTCCCTAGATGTAGAAAACAAGATTTATTTATTTTTACTTTTAAGTCAGAGAGACTGACTTAGAGATTTTCCATCTGCTACACTAGTTCACGCTCCAAATGTCTCAACTTCTGGGGCTGGGCCAGGCAGAAGCTGGTAAACAGGACCCAATCCGAGAATTCCATGTGAGTGGCAGGGACTCAAGAGACTGAGTCATTGCCTGTTGCCTTTCACGGTGTGCATTAGAAGGAAACTGGAATTGAATGTAAAGCAAGGACTCAAACCAAATACTCTGTTTCAGAATGGGATGTGGGTTCTCCAGTGGCATCTAAACCCTATTATATCAAATGCTTACCCCCCAAACTAGACCTTTATGTCAGACAGGACCCATTCCTTTCATTTCTCTGTTGGGTCTGCAGCATCCACTTCATATTAGAGCAGATCATTGCAAATGTTATTTTTTAAGCAGTGAACATCTCTGTCATAGCCAAATGGAAAAATTTTTTTATTTGGAGAATCTATATTATATTATTAACGTTGTTGGAAACCCTACCTTTAGTTGTCTATTTATAAAAATTTTTTGAAGATGAAATATAATTTTTACTAGAAGTTAGGTCAGAAAAACCACACTAAATTTGCTAGTGCCATAAAATAAATCATTTTAATAATTAAGATACATAAATAGTTTATAATAGGGACAATAAAATTGTCTCAACTCTGCACAAAACTGAATTGCCATGTAATGCATACAGAGTATATTCCTCTTATTACATTCAAAATAATGGTTGATAATGATTATTATTTCTCTGAATAACATTCCTTTTATGAATTCACATGGTATTACAGTCACTTACAGTTTACAGTGCTTGGTACTCTTCAAGAAAAGGAGTAAAATTCTACAGTTGTGTAGAAAAATAAACATTAAATAATTAAAAGTTATTTGCATAACTTCTAATGAGAAACTAATACTTTTTTCCCGCAAAAATAAATTAGGGCCTTTACACAGAAACGCTATTCTATTAAAGTATTTTAAAAAAATTAGTTACATTCATTTTTGGCTGTGTGTTCAGACCTACTTATTTGCCATCCCCTCATGCGTAAGAAAATGAGGTGCAAGCTGTTCATATGTGAGAAAAACAGCTTATTTTTCTAGGCAAGGAAATGATACAAGAAATAGGATTGATTAAAAATCCCAAGTATCATACAGATGATAGAGATAGAAAATATCTACTAAGAAAATCCATCTCCTCAAGGCCTTTGAGGTGTCACCTGTTTTGGCTATACTTTGTCAAAGGCAGTTTTGATAATCAAGCTACCCTGTAACTTCCATCCCCCATTGACTGCAGGTTACAGTCCTGTTTAACAATTTAAAGTGTAGTGCTGGGTCAATTAACTGACACAAAAGTGAACGCATGACTGACCACCTTTTATAAGAGAGCACGAGAACTGAGTGTCTGTTCTCTAGGAGTGACGGGCAAGAACAGCACCTTTGGCATGGAGCACAGCAACCCACGATGTAGTCTGAAGCGGCACAACATGAAAACGAGCCCCACGCTTATGGCAGTGCTGTTAAGGAGCCAAGCTTGCTGGTTGACCAGGGAAGCAGGTGAAAATCTAGGAACTGAGTGAAACCAAACAGGAATAACGTGCCCCTATCCACCAGTAACAGCCGAACGGCAATTCGCAGATGCGCGTGCCTTCTGCTTTTTCCTCTTCATCTTCTTGTTTTTCTTGTGTTTTCTCTCAACCTTATTTTTGCCTGGCTTCTTTTTCTTATTTTCGCCTGGCTTCTTTTTCTTATTTTCCTCTTGATACCATGGTCCCCAGACTCCTCCGTTGAGCCGAGGGTTACTTCTGGGGTCTTTGGGTGGGTACCTGACGGGTACTGCTGTTTTGTTGAACTGGGAGAGCCTCCGGAGGAGTTGCTTCACGATGCCTGGATACCTGCCAGATAAGTCCACCCTCTCGTAGGGGTCTGCCGTGATGTTGAAAAGCCATATGCTTTTGCCAGTGGACAATGTGATGCGTTCATTGTGCCACCGGTTTGGCCCCAGATTGCTGAAAGCCTGAGGGGGGACCCAGTCACTGTAGCCGGGATTTCCCGTAAGCAGTTTCCAGTGCTGCACCCTGATGGCGGATTGGATAGCAGTATTCCAGATCCCGTAGCCTGCTGCCAAGGAGCCATTTTTGGCCTTGGTGTAAATAGGGTCAATGTTGTGCAAGATATCCACTCGGGGTGAGCGAAGACCTTCACTTATGGTCTCCCAGATGTCGTAACCATCCAGTTGAATGTCCTCGTCAATCTGTCCTTCAGCCAGGGAAATCAGAGTGGGGTACCAATCAGTGATGTGCACGAGTTCCTTGCACACTGTCCCCTTGTTTTTCAGAAGTGGGCTATGCACAAAGCCAACAGCCCGAATCCCCCCTTCCCAGTAGGTTCCTTTGCTGCCTCTGAGAGGCCAGTTACTTCCTCCTGCTGTGGGCTGACCTCCATTATCTGATGAGTAAATGATAATGCTGTTGTTATAGTACCCGTAGGTCTTTAGAGCCAGGGTCACGTTGTTGATTGCTTCATCCAAGCAGGAAAGCATGGCAGCATACCTCCGCCTGTTTATGTTGATAATGGATCGGTAGTGCTCAAAATACCTTCCAGGTGCCTGCAGCGGTGAGTGAACGGCTTGGTAAGCAATATATAAGAAGATGGGCTTTGTGGGGTTATGGGAAGCTAAAATTTGCTGCACTCTCTGAGTGTACATTTGTGTGGAATATATGCCATTATCATGGTCCCAGGCAGCACTGTCATTTTCATACAAGTCATAGCCACACATCCCAGGACTGTCACATTTGTAGTGTGTATAGTAGTCACCACTTCCCAAAAGGGATCCAAAAAAGGTATCAAATCCTCTCTTAGTGGGCATGCACTCTTTTCTGTAAAAGCCCAGGTGCCATTTCCCAACCATATGTGTGGCATATCCAACCTCCTTCAGCTTCTGAGGTAGGGTTGCGTTGTCCAGAGGTAAACAGTTGGGTTGGGTAGGTCTTATGATAGAATGTTGAAGTCCCGTGTGTATCTGATACCTTGGAAAAAGGTATAAATTTTGTCAGGCAGTATACAAGATACATTCTATGTAAAACAATGATGACTGAATTGAACAATTTATATGAAGATCAGTTTACTCCAGATAATATATGACCAGATCAGCATTTTCTACTCTTGACTCAAAAGTCTTAACATAATTAAGTTCGTGTTTGACTTCTGAAATGCATTTGACTCTAAATTAGTAATCCTCAAAGATTCTATCACTTATCTCAATTTTTTGAAGTTCTTATAAAAAAAGAATTCATTTAAGTGAATTTTTAGCTTCTTAATTATCTGACATGAAATGAATGTGTTAAGAGAAAATATGTACAGCATCAGAGTATTAATGTTGTTTTTTGTCTTACATAGTTCTCATTAACTCCTAAAACGCACTTGAGTGAATGAAATATCTGTTCCATTCACTGAAAGGCTATTTCAAGCCTTTCTAATCAAACTGGTCATTTTCTCATCTAGTGGCAAAAACAAAAGGTATTGTGACTTACTAACAACAGAAGATACAGGAAGCAGGAAATGGAGTAAAAGAGGGAAACAGAATTTTGCTGTTATCATAAACTGGTCTAGCATTAGCAGATAAATGAGACAGTTCAAAACTGTTAATCAACTACATGGTTTCTGTTTTCTGCAGAAAGTAGTATGGCTTCCATATTGGAAAACTTAGAACCAACAAAATAAAACTTGGAAGCATCTCATAACACTTGAGAAGCATTCAAGGAAATTGTTGCTTAGCTGAAATGGAACTTCTAGGGCCAAACAGGAGCAAGTATGGGTAAAATTTGGGTGTGGGTACAGGCTTTGGAACAAGGTAAACCTCAGTCTAAATTTGCTCCATTGCTTATTTTCTGTGCTGCTTTGGGCAGTACTTAATTTCTCTGATCCTCACTTTCCTGTAATATAGGGATGATGATCTTACTGGGTTTCTGTAAGCACTAGAAGAGGGTAGAGTCTAGTAAGAAGAAAATATGCAATAAATGATAGCTTTTATAATTACCTCAGAGTGCTGGATCTCACACTTCTAACATGGTTGTGTAATGTTTTATGATTTCTACGTTTTTTTCTCACAGGTATTATTCTGTTTAATGCTCACTGTAAGAGTGAAAAGTCAAACTCTTTATGTTCATGTTAAAGATGGGAAAATAGAAATGCAAAGAAATTTTATACTTGTCAGGCTCTCCTTTAACCCCACCAGGCTGTAAAACTGGTTCCTGAACATCTGGTGCTAAGTCTGGTGCTTTCTCAGTACCTTCTACGAGTTAACAGTATTTTTGGAAGAAACAAGGAGCAAAGGAAAGATGCCAAAGGCCTTGGGAGTAGGTTGTTCAATCTTTCCAATTAAAAGAAGGAAGGATGTGTAAATTGGGGAATGAAGCTTATTGGTCACAGAAAAGGATGAGAAAAGCTTACTGTTTTAGTGGATGCTTTGAGCATTGGAAAAGGCGAGAACTAAAGTCTGAAAGAAAAGTCCAGGCAAGTTAGCTTCATTTTATTTTCAAAATGCTTTATTAGTATTTTAATTAGTGTGTATTGTGAGTTTGCATGTAGCATAGTGCAATATTAGATTCCCCTCCCCCCCCACACACAGAGTATACATTGATCCAGCCAAGAAACCAGCTCTGTTATTTCCTTGCCCTTTGTTCTTTTGTGTATGAAGCTTATCAGCTCCATTCTTCAAATTCTTGATACAGAATGTAATAGACTTAGGGTCAGCATTGATAAAATAGCTTAGGAATGATGTCACATTTGAAGTATATGCTTTTGATTTTTTTCTTATAAAATAATGGGAAATTAACTCTATGACAGCACTGCATTTGGGGACAAGTGTGATAATCTTATAGCTTAACACCAGTTAATACAACACAGAAGAATTTTTGAGTCCCCTCTCTGGCCTACACCACTCCCTATGTTCTTAGAGCAGGTGGTGGTATTCATTTTATCTATATCAAAGCACAGCTAAGCAAACAGAATAATTCCATGCCCATGCCTTAGTTGTGAGTCCTGAGGTTCTACACTGGAACTCAGATTTTTGCTTTGTGCATTCTTCCATGACGTATTCACAGTTAGTTGAATAGCTACCCCAGTTTAAAGTCTGCATTAATCCTAAATATTCACTAATTGCTCAGTTAAAGAACATCACTGTAAAATGTGGGGTAAAAACTAAGTTGCCTCTTCACTATAGATTAAATATCATAAAGAAAACTGTAAATAAAGACTACTAGCTATGAGAGTGACTTAAAGGTACAAATTCTCTGAACCTTTAGATCAGGTAGGAATGGAGACAATGTCTGCCCATCGTCATGTGAAGAACAGAGCTACTGGTTCTTTCCATCCTTTCTTCCCATCAAAAGTCCTAATGACTTACTTCAGGAGGGATACAATTAAAATCTAGGGAGGAATTTGCTGGAGTCTGGGGATTATATTGATTTTGACTTGGAAGCAGAAAGCAGCTTAAAGATTAATCATACAATTATATTACTATCACATATAATTACATGTTTTGTATAATTGTATATATTTTCAGACCCTGCACCCCTGTGGGAGACCCAGTGAGGAACTCCTGGCTCCTGGCTTTGAATCAGCTCAGCTCTGGCAGTTATGACCATCTGGGGAGTGAACCAGTGAAAGGAAGATCTTTCTCTCTATGACTTTACTTCCCCCTCTGTAAAATCTGCCTTCCAAATAAAAATAAATAAATCTTCTACAAAATGAATCAGAAAAGGTGCTCTATTATCTGGGAGGTATAGTTGATAAGTGACAGAAACAATATTCAATGTAATTTCAATAATCACAAATGTTCTTGAAGCAAAGATTAAATCTAGATGAAAGTAAAGAAAGAATCAGATTGAAGGGAATATGTCAAAGATATTTGAAGTTGATTAGAGTGGCTCTCAGTGACAGAATCAGGATAATTTAAACATTGAAATAAACAATGGAGTAGGTGTTTGGCAAAGTGGTTAAAACATAGTTTGGGATGCCTGTCTCCCATAATTGGAGTACCTCCATTTGATTTTCAGCCCCTCTATTTCTGATTCTAAACTCCTGCTGATGAATTCCTAGAGAAGAAGATGATGGCTCAACTAATTGGGTCTAGGCACCCATGTGAGATCTGGATTGAACCCCTTGTTCTTGGCTTTGCCCGTGTTTGTCTGTGGTGGACGTTTGGGTAGGGAATCAAAGAATGGAAGATCTCTCTTTGCCTCTCTGTATTTCAAACACATTTAAAATGAAGAGTAATAAAGAAAGCTATATTCAACTAAATAAGAAATATTGAATACATACTTCTATAAATAAGTAAATAATCAAAGGTTGACACAGAATGAGATGAAATATTGGTTCACTACACAGGGAGGATTCTAACTGACATTTTAATTAAGTGATCAAAGCATCATTAGCAGAGGAAAAATCATAATTATGTAGGATGATATTGTGCAGGAAGGATCCAATGAGAACAGAATAGTATTGTTTCTCTAATGTTCTAGCTAAAAATAGGAACAGTAAATTATCTTATTGAAACATCTAAGAAATTCAACTTGAGAGACATTTTAGATAACTGGTCCAAAATCTTTAAATATCAAGTTTATATAATTCACAATAGGATGAAACATTAAGTGAAATATGTGATCCAAATAAAAAGTTACAATAAAGGACACTTTTAGAGAATTATCAAAGTAAAATCAGTTTTCAGGATTAAATGAGAATTATTATGTTAACTTCCTAAAAAATTTTTTGCATATGTATATATGGCTCATACAAAAGGATATCTTTGTTTCCCAATAAATATTGGGAGAAATAGCGGATCATGTTGACAACTAATTCAAATAACTCAAGAAATATGTTATTTGTGTGGTATTTGCAACTATTCTACAAGTGTGAGATTGTTCCAAATTTTACCCAAAACACACAAAATTGTAATAGGATAAATGGAAGGTGCTTCAATTTTAAAAATTGGTTACATGCTTAGTTATATAAAAGACTAAATAAAAAAAGGTCTGAGATTTGATATATTAGACCATGAATTTAATAAGAAATAAGAGCAAAGATGCTAATAAGATGTTAAATTATATATAGACAGCATCTAAACCCTGAGTATGTCACTCTGCTAATCACAGCATATCTGAAATTTTATTCAGCATTTATTTTCATGTACCATGTTATACACATTTAAAAATTATATAAGACACTGTTCTAATTTATAAATACTGTACAATACATACAAAATCTAAATTCAAAAGGATAAGATAAAATAAATATTAATAGATATTTTTGGCATTTCTTCTTGCATCTTGGTGATTCATCTATGTTGTTCTTTGGTACATTTATTTCCATTTAGACACCTCTGGCACAGAAAGTGGACTGCGGCATGAGAACTGAAACACAGATTCTTTAGAAAGCTATTACCACAGGCTGGGTCAAAGATGATGGTGGCTTGGACTACCATCTAGTGGCAGTAGAAATGGAAAAAAACTGGGTGGATCAAATGTATATATTGAATTTAGATCTCTTAAGACTAACTGGAGAGACAGAAGGAGGGATAGAGGGAAACATAAAATGATAGCATTCAGAATGATTTCTAAATATTATGATGGTGTAAAGGTTGAGGCCACCTTGAAACAGACAGACACATTAGCCAGGGTGAAGCAGAAAGGGCTCATTCTAGGAAAAGGAGAGGACAGATCGACAGCAGAGGGGCACCTAGAGACAGGACACAGGAAAGAAAATGGTGTGGTATTGCAGTCACCAGATACCCCAGTGGCATTCAGCAAGTAGCAATCTGAACTGCACAGGGGGCCAGAACTCTACCAGCAAGTGGGGACTGGAGTTTACTGGGAGCTCAGTAGGTAAACCCAGAAAAAAAAAAAAAGTCCTGCTGGTCTGTTTAATTTGACCAAGAGCAGAGACAGAGCAGCAAATCCCAAACAGGTGGTGTGGGAACAGGGTGGATTTCACAGCCCAAACTCCAAGTAGAGTCAAGTCAGGCACCATC